GAGACATCACATCTGGGCAGCAGGGCTAGGCCCTAACTCTAGCAATGTTTCGTCGCTCAGAGCAGGGCCACCCAGAGGATTCAGGGGGCCTGGGGTCTTTGGCGGCGGGTCCCGGCATGAGTGAAGGTCCCGCCGCCGAATTGCTGCCGAAAACTCTCGTGGGGGGCCCTGAAAACTCTCATGGGGGCAAATTGCCCCGTCCCCCCCGGGGCGGCCCTGGCTCAGAGGCAGGGACACTTTGACCGGGGAACATCTGCGGAACGTGCGCTCCAGCCCAGCTCGCTCCAGAGAGGAAGCCTACGGCCGGCTCTATGGAAACAGCCACGGCAGAGCCCCAATGACATTTATTACATCCACCAACAGACAAAGATTACAGGCCCCTGGGAACAAAAAGTGGTTACAGCTTTTAAGTTCTGTATTTAAAAAATATATAGATTTCTCTTTCAAATATAATCCTACATTGATTTCTCAGCAGAGCTTTGGATAGTCTAACGGACATGTACACACATTCACAAGTACATCGCACAAGAGCTTATATCCTAGTTCCAATTACAGTTGCCATTTTGCCTGGGGTTTTGTCCATTTCTCCCCCAATACTTTATATTACATTATCAATCCCCAGGCTCCTTCACCCCCGGCTCCCCCAGCTGGCTACCACATTTTGAAAATCAGTAGCCCACCTTTATCCTGCAACAAGCTCTTGTTTCAAAGGGATATTGATTTGTGACAGTCCAGGCGTGCTGGATACAGGTTGTGAAAGTACGAGCATGTGGCAACATCAACACATGCAGCAACACCCCCTTGCCCCCCACAACAGTAACTGGGGGGCGGGGGGCACGTGACCAAGGTAGCCAGCCACCTGTGGTAAAGTCTAAATAAAGCTGTTTGACAGTCTGACCCAGAGGGCAAAAAACATGGGGAGGTGTACCAATGTGATTGGCCCCTGCCAGAAAACTAGCTTTAAACCATCACAAAATAAAACGATTACAATAAATACTCCCTCACCCCACGTATGTGGAGGAGAGGGCAGCGGGGCAGGGGGTGGGGGAACGTAAGAGCAGAAACATTGTTAGTTCAAGTAATCGTAAAGGTAAACAAAACCTTTGCAGCCAGATTCAGAAACACGTGTGTGCAATTCTGTACACAAGGTATATGTGCATAGTTATCACTGTGCATGCGTGTGTGTGTGTGTGTGCGTGTGTACAAAAATGCACTCACGCCATTCTGAAGCCCTAGCCCTTCGGGTCAGTCACTTCCCAGAGAAGACAGGGGCAAGGCCACCCAAGCTCACGGAGTTGATTTTATGCGCTCTCAGGGCCGAACACTGCAGATAACCCCGAGCCGATTACCCGTCAGAGCACTGGAGCGTACGCCAGCAGCCTTGTGCTGAACATCTAGATTGGCAGAGGAAATGGTTTGGATGAGGCCTCATTCTCTCTAGGCATCTGTCCCCAGCTGATCAAGCTCTGCAGTGAGATTTGGCTTTTAAAGGCATTTCCGGAGGCCACCTTCACTTGAAGATGTTTTCTGCCAGCCTGAGTTTTAGACAAGCTGCCTCCAGAGACCAGGGCTACGCTCTACCTGTGCCCCACGTGGCCCTCTGCCTTCTCTGTTCTGTTCCCCCCCCCACTCCATGCCAGTTCCAGCATCTCCAGCTTGCAGAATCAGCACCGAAAGCTCTGCGGCGATGGGTAGCCAGACGCCCCCTCAGCTAGCGTAACCAAAACACTCTCACCCTGCACTCCTAGCAGACACTCCAGGACCGAAGGGAGCCGCGCTACGGCCTGAGGAAAGCCAGCTGTTCTCCCTGCCCCAGGACGAAGAGCTGGGATGGACGCAGAGCAGCAGCAAAGGACTCCTTGGTTTGTCCTTTCAGGACTCTGCT